GATTAGGCCTCGCCATCCCTGGGGGGCTGCGATATGTGAAACTGTCGCCACTTTCGAGGCCTGCTGGTGGGTCCTGCGTGGTGAGGCACCGCGCGGACCTGAGCGGGACCTAGCCGTCCCTGGGGGGCTGCGATCTGCGAAACCGTCGCCATTTTCGAGGGCTGCTGGTGGGTCCTGCGGAGTAAGGCACCGCGCGGACCTGAGCGGGACCTCGCCGTCCCTGGGGGGCTGCGATCTGCGAAACTATCGCCACTTTCGAGGGCTGCTGGTGGGTCCTGCGGGGTGAGGCACCGCGCCGACCTGAGCGGGACCTCCCCGTCCCTGGGGGCTGCGTTCTGCGAAATTGTCGCCACTTTCGAGGGCTGCTGGTTGGTCCTGCGGAGTGAAGCCCCGTGCGGACCTGAGCGGGACCTCGCCGTCCCTGGTGGGCTGCGATCTGCGAAATGTCGCCACTTTCGAGGGCTGCTGATGGGTCCTGCGGGGTGAGGCACCGCGCGGACCTGAGCGGGACCTCGCCGTCCCTGGGGGGCTGCGATCTGTGAAACTGTCGCCACTTTCGAGGGCTGCTGGTGGGTCCTGCGGAGTGCAGGCACCGCGCGGACCTGAGCGGGACCTCGCCGTCCCTGGGGGGCTGCGATATGCGAAATGTCGTCATTTTCGAGGGTTGCTGGTGGTTCCTGCTGAATGAGGCACCGCGCGGGCCTGAGCGGGACCTCCCCGTCCTTGGGGGGGGGGGGCTGCGATATGCGAAATGTCGCCATTTTCGAGGGTTGCTGGTGGTTCCTGCTGAATGAGGCACCGCGCGGGCCTGAGCGGGACCTCGCCGTCCCTGGGGGGCTGCGATCTGCGAAACTGTTGCCACTTTCGAGGGCTGCTGGTGGGTCCTGCGGAGTGAGGCACCGCGCGGATCTGAGCGGGACTGGGGGGCTGCGATCTGCGAAATTGTTGCCACTTTCGAGGGCTGCTGGTGGGTCCAGCGGAGCGAGGCACCAGGCAGATCTGAGCGGGACATCGCAATCCCTTGGGGGCTGCGAGCCTCACGAATGCCGCTTGCAGAAGTATATGCGCCCATGTCACGTCATCACCTCCGTATAACGTCTCCCAAGCTACTCATGCCCCGCATTGCGCAGGGGTTGGGTACGTCGCCAGGGTAATTGGCCTCTTCTGGCCTTCTGGAGGCCCTCTTGGGGGCCTCTTGGGTCATTCTGGGCCAGCTTCGAGCCAACTTCGGCCATCTTGGTGGGTTCCTGGCACGTCTGACGCCGTCGGGAGCCGTCTTGGGGGCCTTTCTGGGCCAACGGGGGACCCTCTCGGGGCGCTTCGGGGCCGTCTTGGAGGCCATCTTGGGCGTCTTGGAGGCCATCTTGGGCGTGTTGGAGGCCTCTTGGGCCGTCTTGGGGCCCTCTTGGGGCCATCTTGGAGGCCACTTGGGCCGTCATGGGGCTCTCTTGGGGGCCTGTTGGGCGATCTTGGGGGCCGCTTGGGCCGTCTTGAGCCGTCGGAATGCCGGGAAGAAGCAAATTCCAAAATCCTTCAAACACCTCTAAGGAAAATCAATGATTTTGGCATCTTCGGGCCCTCCTGGAGGACCTCTTGGAGGCCTCTTGGGCCGTCTGGGAGGCCTCTGGAGGGCCTCTTGGGCCGTCTCGGGCCGTCTTGGACTCTCTTGGGCCGTCTTGGAGGCCGTCTTGGACCATCTTGGGCGGACTTGGAGGCCATCTTGGACCATCTCGGAGGCCATATTGGGCCATCTTGGCCATCTTGGAGGCCGTCTTGGAGCCGTCTTGGGCAGGAAATTTGGGAATTGGGCATTTTCCCAGTGGCCGGCGGGACGGGCCGAAGCCCCAGGGGGAGTTCTTTTGGAAAAAGAACCAAGACCGAGAGGGTTCAGCACGCCAGGCACCCCTGCGATGACTCGACAGGGGGCGGCGGATCGAAGACGCCTACGGCGAATCACTGGAAGCGCCTATGTGGCCGAAGGTTGTAGCCAGAGGCCTGCCAAGCTATCGGACCACGTGTTCCCCGAATCGGTTTGGAAAGCCTTCGGGGAACACGTGGGCATCTCGAAGGTCATCTTGGCCGTCTGGAGGCCATCCTGACCCTTTCGGGCCTTCTTGGAGGTCGTCTTGGAGGGCTCTTGGGCCGTCTTGGAGGCTATCTTGAGCGTCTTGGAGACCTCTTGGGCCGTCTTGGGGGCCTCTTGGGGCCGTGTCTTAGGCCTCTTGGGCGATCTTTGTGGGCACTTGGGCCGTCTCGGGCCGTCGGAAGGCAGAAAAAAGCAAATGCCATAATCTTTCAAGAACCCATGGCAATCAATGGTTATGGCCTTTTCGGGCCTTCCTGGAGGCCCTCTTGGAGGCCTCTTGGGCCGTCTTTGGCGATCTTATGGCCATGTTCGGCCGTCTTGGTGGGCTCCTGGTCCGTCTGACGCCGTCGGAAGCCGTTTGGGGGGCCTCTATGGGCCGACTTGGGGCCCTCTTGGAATGCTCCAGGGCCGTCTTGGAGGCCATCTTGGGCGTCTGAAAGGCCTCCTGTGCCATCTTGGGGGCCGTCTTGGGGCCCTCTTGGGCCGCTCTGGGGCCGTCTTGGAGGCCATCTTGGGCGTCTTGGAGGCCATCTTGGGCGTGTTGGAGGCCTCTTGGGCCGTCTTGGGGCATTCTTGGGGCCGTCTTGGAGGCCACTTGGGCCGCATGGGGCCCTCTTGCGGGCCTCTTGGGCGATCTTGGGGGCCTCTTGGGCCGTCTTGAGCCGTCGGAATGCCGAGAAGAAGCAAATCCCCAAATCCTTCAAAAACCTCTAAGGAAAATCAATGATTTTGGCCTCTTGGGGCCCTCCTGGAGGACCTCTTGGAGGCCTCTTGGGCCGTCTGGGAGGCCTCTGGGGGGCCTCTTGGACCGGCTTGGCCCGTCTTGGACTCTCTTGGGCCATCTTGGATGCCATCTTGGCCATCTTGGAGGCATTTTGAGGGTCATCTTGGACCATCTTGGAGCATCTTGGGCCAACGTGGCCATCTTGGCACCATCTTGAGCCATCTTGGGGGATTTTTTTTCCGGATTGAGCGCCTTTCCGGTTGGCCGGCGGGACGTGCCGGAGCCCCAGGGGGAGTTCTTTTGGAAAAAGAACCAAAACCGAGAGGGTTCAGTACGCCAGGCACCCCTGCGATGAATCGACAGGGGGCGGCGGATCGGAGACGCCTACGGCGAATCACCGCCGCCCCCTGCCTTTTTGGAAGCGCCTATGTGGCCGAACGTTGAGGCCAGACCTGCCAAGCTATCGGACCACGTGTTCCCCGAATCGGTTTGGAAAGCCTTCGGGGAACACGTGGGCATCTTGAAGGTCATCTTGGCCGTCTTGGAGGCCTCTTGGGCAAGCTTTGGGCGATCTTTGGGGCTTTTTGGGCCGTCTCGGGCCAGCTTCGAGCCAACTTCGGCCATCTTGGTGGGTTCCTGGCACGTCTGAAGCCGTCGGAAGCCGTTTGGGGGGCCTCTATGGGCCGACTTGGGGCCCGCTTGGAATTCGGCTCCAGGGCCGTCTTGGAGGCCATCTTGGGCGTCTTGGAGGCCATCTTGGGCGTGTTGGAGGCCTCTTGGGCCCTCTTGGGGCCCTCTAGGGGCCATCTTGGAGGCCACTTGGGCCATCATGGGGCTCTCTTGGGGGCCTCTTGGGCGATCTTGGGGGCTTCTTGGGCCGTCTTGAGCCGTCGGAGAGCCGAAAAGGCGCAAATGCCAAAATCCTTCAAAAACCAAGGAAAATCAATGATTTTGGCCTCTTCGGACTCTCCTGGAGGACCTCTTGGAGGCCTCTTGGGCCGTCTGGGAGGCCTCTGGGGGGCCTCTTGGGCCGTCTTGGGCCGTCTTGGACTCTCTTGGGCCGTTTTGGAGGCCGTCTTGGACCATCTCGGGCGGACTTGGAGGCCATCTTGGGCCATCTTCGCGATTTTTTGAGGATGTCCCGAGCGAAACGGCCGTTTTTGGGCATTGACAGACGGATTTTCGGAAATTTGCGGGTGGCCGGCGGGACGGGCCGAAGCCCATTGGGGAGTTCTTTTAGAAAAAGAACCAAAACCAAAACCTGACTCGTCCAGCACGCCGTGCACCCCTGCAAGCAGGGGGCGGCGGATTTCATGGCCTTCGGCCCATCCCGCCACCGTGCCTGGGTTGTGGGTCAGAGTTCTCAAGGATGCTTCTTGGAGTCTCTTCGGAGCGCTCTCGGGGGCCTCTCTGGGGCAGTTCTGGGGCGGAGCCTCTTGGGGACTTCTTTGGGGCCTTTAGGGGCCTCTTGGGAGCCTCTTTGGGGCCTCTTGGGACCTCATGGGCGCACTTCGGGAGCTTATAGTGGGGGATGAGGCCTGCTGGCGGCCTCGGTGGGGGTGTGCGCAGCGCAAGCGGGCATCCGTCCACACCAAGATACCCCTTACGCGGATCATTGCCCCCAATGGAGCTCCCTTTACGTCCCCGGCGTGGTTGTGCGCAGCGGTCCCCAGCCCAATTTGAGACACCCCTCGCGTTGATCGTGCCCCAGGAAGCTCCACCCACGGCCCCAGCGCGGATGTGCGCATGCGGCCCACGGCCTACAGTCGGTCCGAGGTACAAGATCGAGTTCGGATCGGGGAGGGTGCCCTGATGTTCTGCGTGCTTGTTGGATGCTCTTGTGCACCCTGGGAAGGGTACCCTTGGATGTTCTGTGCGTTTTGGCCGGCGGAGGATCTCTTGATCTTGAGAGGTGTTCTTCCGTCTTCGGTCCGACTGTATTTCGGCACCGCGCACTCGCGAACCCGTGCGCGGATCGTGCCCCACAGTTCGGTGCGTTTCTGCGCGCCTTCTCCGCAGCTCCCTTTCCGCACTGCCCCGAACCCCATCCTGCTGCCTGCTCGGGGTGCCGAGTGCACGAGGAGAGGGCCGCGCCCTGTGCCACACAGCTGCATAGGGTCGGGCTCTTTGCCAGGATACCTGTGCCCACGAGAGTCGAGAATTGTTCGTCGTGGTGGTTTGCGCGCCCAGGACGGCGATACAGTGATCGTGTGCGACCATCTCTTCACCTATACGCCAGGATCCCAGTGATTGTCCTGCCATGGATTACATGACACCTCTGCACATGTTGTGATCATTCCCCTTCCGTGCGTATCCCCGTCCGCACCTCTTCTCCAAGCTTGCCCCTCTCGCAGGGCCGTCGCCCTTTCTCTCCCGTCGAACTGGGGTGCGTTTGCGAAGAGGGCGATCTCTAGTACACACAGGGTCACAGCCCGCCTTGTAATTAGCGTGCGTACGGCATGTTCGCGTCATGCCGACGCGGCGGCGACCCCGCCAGGGGCGTTCACGGCTGAATGCCACCAGTGGCTCAGCATTGGCCGCTAAGAAACTACCCTGCGATCGATCAAGGTTGAACGATCCACGCGGTGTCAGAGACCAGTGCGGGGGTCGTCACGAAACAAAATCTGGTCGGAGCGTCTGTTCCAAACAGTACCTCGAACTTCTCTTTCGCCCTGGCTCTCGTGCTGCCCATCGCGCCGAGCGGCCACGGAGCCCGCGCGCTCCCGCCTCGCAGATTCGGCTCGGCCACCGCTCCTGCGCCGATGGCTCCTTCGACCCTCTGGTGACGAACGAGCAACACACACCCATACCCATAGGGGGGTCGTTGAGAGGAGGACTGGCTATGGGTATGGGTGCGGGTTGTCCGACCCTGGGGAACGCTCCCGTTCGAGCGGGGACCCCCATCCGACAACACGCACCCATAGCCCTCTCCGACCCCCCTATGGGTATGGGTGTGTGTTGTTGGTTCGTCATCTGGACCCACGTGGCGCGTTCCAGGCAGGGCTTCGCCTTCTCGGCGGATGGCGGCGGAGGGCCAGCGGAAGCCAGCAGACATAGAACTCTGGGCCTCCCAGGTGGCGCCGGAGTGGATGGGGTCGGAGGATCGCGCCCCATCGCCGATGCATCGGCGATGCGGCTCGATGTGGAGCCCCACTTTCTCCACGCCGACGCCCCCGATGCATCGCCGATGTCGTCGATGCAGCGTCGATGCATCGGCGCGTATCGACGATGCGGCGCGATCCTCCGACCTCATCCACTCGGGCCCCATCTGGGTGGCCTCTAAGGACGGGGGGCGGCTCCGCGGCGGCAGCTCGGCAGAGCGTGGCGGAATCAGCACTAGGCCCTGCAAGATATACCACATCGGTTGGTTCATGGTTTCCGGAGTCAGCCACAGCGATCACATCGTCGCTGCTTTCTTAAGTTCAGTTGCTCTCGCAGTCGGCAGGCCCCTGCCAGGTCGACCCTGCGCAGGGGCTCGAGTCGTCTTGTCGCAATCTCTGTCCCGTCACGAAATGCTCCTTGGCATCCCTTCCGGTTCTTTGCTATTCAAGACGCTTCGCGTTCACCGCCCGCCCATTCCAGTTCTCGCCGGACGAGGCGCAGACGGCTCCATGACGGGATAAACATAGGCAGGAATTCATACAAGTCGTGTGCTTTGTTGTTTTTGTCCCGCGTTCTCTCTTCCTATGCTATCGCCTACTATGCTCAGGCATGCTCCGTGGCTGTTCGACAGTAGGTTTGTCGTACTTGCTACTGTTAGTGGTGGTGGTGCTGCGGCTGGTGTTGCTACTGGTGTTGCTGTTGTCGCTCCTGCTGGTGGTACGGTGCAGTGCGGGTGCCGCTGCTGCTGTTGCTGGCGATGGTGCTGATGGTGCCGGTGTTAGTGCTGCTGCTGCTTGTGGTGCGCTTGTGCAGTCGACTGATCCGATGGTAGGGAAGGCGGCATGCTCCCGTGGTGGGCTTGTGTCATACGGTGGCGTGGCAGTCTCGTGGTTTTGTCGCGCTTGCGCAGTCGATTGATCCGATGGCAGGGAAGGTGGCTCTTGGAGTGGGTTCTCCAATGGCTGACCAGATGACTGGCCCGTGGCGTGCCGTGGTAGATGTCTGGGTGCTTGTCCCGACGGTTGCCCGGATTCTTTTCCCGTTGCTAGTCTCGGCGGTTGCCCGAGCGGTTGGTTGCCCCGACGGTTGCCCTGGCGATGATCCGGCCGGCAAGGCGCCAAGAAGGGCCGAAGAGGAACCCGAAAAGAGCCCCAAAAGAGGCTAAGAAGGCCCCGAGGCGGTCTTGGAAAAGCCCAGGGCGGCTCAAACGACAGCACTTCCGCGTTGGGTCGCAACCGCGTCCGTCTTGCAGTAAAAATCGGGCGGGGTTTGACCTGGTTTGGGGTCCGTTTTGCGGCCCAACATGGGCCCCGCAGCGTCCAAAATGGACCCCGGAGCGCGCCCAAAAACGGCGAACAAAGGGAGTGATGAAAAATGACGCACGCGAGCCCGGAAGTCAACTGCAAGCAGCGTCCTGGACAGCCCCGGGGAAACCGAAATCAGGCCAAAACCATAGTATTTGTTTTTTTTGACATCCCCACGTGTCGGCGAGAATGAGCCAAAGAGGCGCTCTCGAGGGCTCCGGGAGCGGATCTTGGAGGCCAAGAAAGGGGCCCCGACGGGGCCGAAATGGAGCCCACAGGCGTCTGGCAGCGTCTTCAGAACGATGCCAAGATCGAGCTTGTCTTGGACGCCGTCGTGGAGCCGTTTTGGAAACCGAAAAAGGGCATTGCCGCAGCCGGGCGGCGGAATGGCGGAGGCCTCTGTGGGGGGAAAAAGGGGGGGGGGCTAAAGTTCTGTAATTAAATCTCACACGCCCCTCAGCCTGGTGGGCGGGCGGATTCAAGAGGCTTGCGCCATTCCGCCGACGGTCAGACGAAGTGTTGGGGCCCTCAACGTTGCTAGGGCGAGATTTGGGGCTAGAAGGTCTTACACATTGGGGGCATCATGGCGTCTCCTCTGTCGTCTTGGTGTTGTGACAGATACCGCAGGTTGATGTGTAAATGCCGTGATTCTCAGCAACACATCGGACATCGTGAGCGCTTTCGGGGGATTACAGTGGGTCGCGGTTCCGTCCGCATCAATGCAGAAGCGGTATTCGGCACCGGTGAACCACGGTGAATTCGATACCAACCAGTTCAGACAACATGCACCCTACAAACGGTGGATTCAATATCTCTGGCCTTCTGTTTGAGCGTCTTGTGCCGTCATTGCATCTTGTTAGAGACTGTAACAAAGGCCTTATGCCGTTGGACAATGGGCTCTATGGGGAGTTCCTTGCTGTTGTTTTCGCAACACCTGTGGACACACGCCTATTTCAGGCATGTGTGTTCCCCATGGCTCGTTGACATCTTGCTGCGCACGTGTTGCCAGCGCGCCCGATTCGATGCGCGCCGCGGCAGGCTTCGGGGAGTACGGTGAATCGCGGCTGCTCGAGTACGACGTGTCGCATCAGCGGCAGATGCAGGGCAGGGCGCCCGACCCGTTCGACCACCGCGGCAAGTTCGACGACTGAGCGCGCACGGAGGAGGAGGAGGAGGAGGAGGAGGAGGAGGAGGAGGGGGAGGAGGAGAGGAGGAGGAGGAGAGGGAGGAGGAGAAGGAGGATGGAGAGAGGAGGAGGCGAGAGAGGAGGAGGAGGAGGAGGAGGAGGAGGAGGAGGCAGAGGAGATGAGGAGGAGAGAGGAGGAGGAGGAGGAGGAGGAGGGAGCGAGGAGGAGGAGGAGGAGGAGGCGAGCGGAGGGGAGGCGGAGGCGGAGGAGGAGGAGGAGGGGAGGAGGAGGAGGAGGAGGGAGGAGGAGGAGGAGGCGGAGGAGAGGAGGAGGAGAGAAGGAGGAGGAGGGGGAGGAGGGAGGAGAGGAGGAGGAGGAGGAGGGAGAGGAGGAGGAGAGGAGGAGGAGGCGGCGGAGGCGGAGTGGGGGAGGAGGAGGAGCGGGGGAAGGGGAGAAGGAGGAGGGGAGGAGGAGGAGGGGGCGGGGAGGAGGAGGAAGGAGGCAGGGGCGGAGGAGGAGGGAGAACGAGGAGGAGGAGGGGGAGGTCGTCGTGGGGTGGAGGGGGGGGGGCAGAGGGGGAGAGCTGGGACCGAGCACTCGAGGAGCTCCCCAGGGCAGGGCTCGGTGCCCGCGCGCTCCGGCGAATGGTCTTGTCGCGCGCGCGGCAGTCTCTCGGGTCGCCGTGTGGCCTGCCTGCGCGCGGGCTCCGCAGAAGGCGTCTACACCAAGAGCTCCCCACGAGGGCGCGAAGTTATTCGCGCTTCGCGCTTCGCGGAGTGCGAAGCGCGAAGTTGGGAGCCCCAGTACACCTCCGTGCAGGCCTCACCGCCCACCAAGCCACCCCAACCCAATCTGAAAGCCCCTGTTTTGCCCTCCATTTCCAGCGGGGGGGTGTCGGGGAGCATGGAACACAGAAACATGTCTGAAGCCCGTACCCCCCCCCCCGCCCTCCCCAGCTTGAAATTCGGGCCTTCGGGTTGGGTTGGGGTGGTCCGGTAGGCAGTCATGGCCAGGGCCACCCTGGGCTCTAGGATGGCCTACCGTCGGCGTCCCCCCACCATACTAACACTGTGTGTGCGTCGCCCACCCCAGGGACCTCAGGGGCGACGCGCGCGCGCCGAGAAAGATCCATATTATCAGTCCCGTGGCGGGCGCTTTCTAGCCGTGCCGCTCGGGAAGCACTGTGTTGCACTATGGTTGTGCAGTGTGTTCGGGTCGGACGGCCGCCTCCAAGGAGGACATATTCCCCCATCAGTGCTTGCACTGAAGGGGTCCCGGCGGAAGGTGAAAGATGCGGCGAAAGTTTCCCTCCGATTTTGGTAGCAGGCTGGGTTCCCGGGTTCCCGGGTTCCCCGTTATTGCTTCTGGGCCGATTCCGGTGGGTTCTGGGTTCCCGGGCTCCCGGGTTCCCCGTCGATCTCTTCAGCCAAAACCATGCGCTGATTGGGTTTTTTCTCTGATGTATAGTGCCAGTGTGCCTTGGGTCGTCCCAGACAGGCCCTGGGCCCCCTGCGCGAGCGCTGAGCGAAAGATGCCTTACGAAGGAGTTCCTGGTTGAGGAACCCTTGGTGCGGATCTCTTACCAAGGATGTTATACGAAGCATTTTTTATCAAGGATCTTCTACCACGGGTTCCTTAATTCAGGATTCCCGTATTACGGATTTCAGATTAAAGGTTTTTTACCTAACAGCGTTTGCTGATAGGTTTCTAGTAGGCTCAAAAGAGAGCAGCAGATGACTCCACAGGGGGGTCGGGGCGGCATCCGGGGAGCTGTGTCCGAACTCGTGTCCGAACTCGTTTTTCGTAAACAGTCACACACTTCGTGCTCTTCGACCTCCCAGAACTCCATTCCCGGGCCACATTCGGAATGCCCGGAGCCAACTGTAATTAGGCCACTTCGTGCTCTTCGACTTCCCAGAACTCCATTCCCGGGCCACATTTTGAATGCCCGGAGCCAACTGTAGGCCACTTCGTGCTCTCCGACCTCCCAGAACTCCATTCCTGGGCCACATTTTGGATGCCCGAAGCCAACTGTAGGCCACTTCGTGCTCTTCGAGTTCCCAGAACTCCATTCCCGGGCCACATTTTGAATGCCCGGAGCCAACTGTAGGCCACTTCGTGCTCTTCGAGTTCCCAAAACTCCATTCCCGGGTATGATTTTGAATGCCCGGAGCCAACTGTAGGCCACTTCGTGTTCTTCGAGTTCCCAGAATTCCATTCCCGGGCCACATTTTGAATGCTGAGGCAGCTGAGGCTGAGGCTGAGGCAGCTAGGCTGAGGCAGGCTGAGGCAGGGCAGAGCAGACTGAGGCTGAGGCAGGCCTGATGCTGAGGCAGGCTGAGGCTGAGGCTGAGGCTGATGCAGGCTGAGGCTGAGCAGGCTGAGGCTGAGGCCGAGGCTGAAGGCAGACTGAGGCTGAGGCTGAAGCAGGCTGAGGCTGAGGCTGAGGCAGGCTGAGGCTGAGGCTGAGGCAGGCTCAGGCTGAGGCTGAGGCTGAGGCTGATGAGGCTGATGCAGGCTGAGGCTGAGGCAGGCTGAGGCGGAGGCCGAGGCTGAAGGCAGACTGAGGCTGAGGCTGAAGCAGGCTGAGGCTGAGGCTGAGGCAGGCTGAGGCTGAGGCTGATGCAGGCTGATGCTGAGGCTGAGGCTGAGGCTGAGGCTGAGCTGAGGCTGATGCAGGCTGAGGCTGAGGCTGAGCTGAGGCTGAGGCCGAGGCAGAAGCAGACTGAGGCTGAGGCTGATTGCAGGCTGAGGCTGAGGCTGAGGCAGGAGGCTGAGGCTGACGCAGGCTGAGGCTGAGGCAGGAGAGGCTGAGGCTGAGGCTGATGCAGGCTGAGGCTGAGGCAGCTGAGGCTGAGGCCGAGCCCGACGCAACTGAGCTGAGGACTGATGCAGGCTGAGGCTGAGGGCTGAGGCTGATGCAGGCTGAGGCTGAGGCAGGCTGAGGCTGAGGCAGCCTGAGGCTGAGGCCGAGGCCGACGGCAGACTGAGGCTGAGGCTGATGCAGGCTGAGGCTGAGGCTGAGGCTGATGCAGGCTGAGGCTGAGGCAGGCTGAGGCTGAGGCAGCCCGAGGCCGAGGCCGACGGCAGACTGAGGCTGAGGCTGAAGCAGGCTGAGGCTGAGGTTGAGGCAGGCTGAGGCTGAGAGGCAGGCTGAGGCTGAGGCTGAGGCTGATGCAGGCTAAGGCTGAGGCAGGCGGAGGCTGAGGCCGAGGCTGAAGGCAGACTGAGGCTGAGGCTGAAGCAGGCTGTTGCTGAGGCTGAGGCAGACTGAGGCTGAGAGGCAGGCTGAGGCTGAGGCTGTGACTGCGACTGCCGTTGCCGCTGCGACTGTCATCGCGAATGCGACTACGGCTGCGAGAACAACAAAACTACAACTGGCTTCTCATCTGAATCTTAAGGGGAATGCTTCCAGATATGCTCCTACACATCGCTGTTAGGTTGCTTTTCCGGGATAATGGATTTTTGAGAGTCGAAAAAAGCGAGAACGCTAAGATATTGCAGAGACCATATGGGGAAATCAAGGATTTCGGCCTCTGGAGGCACAGTTGTGGGCGCTCTTGGGGCCCTCTTGGGCCGTCCTTGGGGCGTTGGGGGCCCTGTGGGGGCCGTTTTGGGGGCCTCATGTGCCCCCGTTGGGGATATCTTGGGCCGTCTTGGGCCGTCTTGGGGCCATCTTGGGCCATCTTGACGCCCTCTTGGAGCCCCAAGAGGCCCAAGAGGCCGAATTTGTTGATTTTCGTATGGTTACCTAACAGCGAAGACTGATAGGTTTCTAGTGGGATCAAAAGAGAGCAGCAGATCACTCCACAGGGGGGTCCGGGCAGGTGTTGGGAGTTGCCGGGCGGCAGTGAGCCGGGCTCGTTTTTCACCAACAGTCACACACTTCGTGCTCTTCGCCTTCCCAGAACTCCATTCCCAGGCCACATTCTGGGGGGCCGGATGCAACTGTAGGCCACTTCGTGCTCTTCGAGTTCCCAGAACGCCATTCCCGGGCCACATTTTGGATGCCCGGAGCCAACTGTAGGCCACTTCGTGCTCTTCCATTTCCCAGAACTCCATTCCCGGGCCACATTTTGAATGCCCGGAACTGTAGGCCAACTCCATTCCCGTAGGCCAGCTGTAGGCCACTTCGTGCTCTTCGAGTTCCCAGAACTCCATTCCCGGGCCACATTTTGAATGCCCGGAGCCAACTGTAGGCCACTTCGTGCTCTTCGAGTTCCCAGAACTCCATTCCCGGGCCACATTTTGAATGCCCGTAGCCAACTGTAGGCAACTTCGTGCTCTTCGACTTCCCAGAACTCCCATTCCTGGGCCACATTTTCAGCAGGGGCAAGAGCACGACGAGGAGGAGGACGAGCAAGACCAGGAGGACGAGGACGAGCAGGAGCAGGACGAGGAGCAGGAGGAGCAGGAGAAGAAGGACGAGCAGGAGGAGGAGGAGGACGAGCAGGAGGAGGAGGACGACCAGGAGGAGGAGGACGACCAGGAAGAGGAGGAGGAGGAGGAGGAGGAGGAGGGGGAGGAGTACCAGGAGGAGGGGAGGGAGGAGGAGGAGGAGGAGGAGGAGGAGGAGGAGGAGGAGAGAGAGAGGAGGAGAGAGGGAGGAGGACGAGGACGAGGAGGAGGAGTACCAGGAGGAGGAGAGGGAGGAGGAGGGAGGAGGAGGAGGAGGAGGAGGAGGAGGAGGAGGAGGAGGAGGAGGAGGAGGAGAGAACACCAGGAGGAGGAGGACGAGCAAGACGAGGAGGACGAGAACGAGGACGACCAGGAAGAGGAGGAGGAGGAGGAGGAGGAGGAGGGGGAGGACTACCAGGAGGAGGAGGAGGAGGAGGAGGAGGAGGAGGAGGAGGAGGACGAGGAGGAGGAGGAGGAGGAGGACGAGGAGGAGGAGGGGGGGGGAGAGCACCAGGAGGAGGAGAACGAGGACCACCAGGAGGAGGAGGAGGAGGAGGAGGAGGAGGAGGAGGAGGAGGAGCACCAGGAGGAGGAGGACGAGCAAGACGAGGAGGACGAGAACGAGGACGAGCAGGAGGAAGAGGAGGAGGAGGAGGAGGAGGAGGAGGAGCAGGAGAAAGAGGAGGAGGAGGAGGAGGCAGGCTGAGGCTGAGGCTGTGACTGCGACTGCCGTTGCCGCTGCGACTGTCATCGCGAATGCGACTACGACTGCGAGAACAGCAGAATTCGACAACTGGATTTTCATCTGAATCTTAAGGGGAATGCTTTCAGATATGCTTCTACACATCGCTGTTAGGTTGCTTTGCCGGGATAATTTTGTAAGTTTTTAGGGCCCCAGAAGGGGGGGTCACTTTGGTCCGGCGGTGTGGCGCAGCTCCCAGGGGGGGCAGGGGGGGAGACATGATAATGTATTGCAATGCAATATGTTGCAATTCTGGAATCTTTGGAAACATTGGATACGTTGCATTAAGGCGTTCGCCGAAAAACGCTGCCGCTCAGCACGTCACCTCCAGACGTGGATTCCTCTCGCTTCGCGGGGTGCACGTCCGGAGCACGTACAGTCACGTCGTCGCGGGGCCTCTTGGGAGCCTCTTGGGGGCCTCCTGGAGGCCTCCTGGGAGTTTCTGTGGGCCTCTTGGGGGCTTCTTTGGGGCCTTTCCCTCCTCCTTCCTTTTCATACACCCTCCCCATCTTCCCTTCCAGCGCCGGCTCTGATCATGGGCGCCGCAGTGACCAACTTCCACCTGGCTGGCGCTGCGCCGCAGTTCGCCCAGAGGGGGGAAAATAACATTACACTCCAGTCGCTGTGTGGGCTTTGGGGGGTTTGGGGGGGCCTTTCGGAGGCTTCTGGGGGACTTCTTGGGGGCCTCTTGGGGCCTCTTGGGAGCGTTTTGGGCCGTCTTGGGGCGCTGTTGCGCCGTTTCGCCCCCTCGGAGGCTGTCTTGGGGGCCTCTCGCGGCCGCATTGGAGCCCTCTTGGGGTCCTCTTGGACCGTCTTGGGGGCCGCTTTGGGCAGTTTTGGGGCCTGGGGCCCTCTTGGGCCGTCTTGGGCCCTCTTGGGGGCTTTTTGGGTTGTTCTGGGGCGATTCTGGAAGCTGCTTGGGCCGTCATGGATTTTTGAGTTGGAAAAAGCGAGAACGCCAAGATATTGCAGAGACCAGGGGAAAATCAAGGATTTCGGCCTCTGGAGGCACAGTTGTGGGCGCTCTTGGGGCCTTCTTGGGCCGTCCTTGGGGCGTTGGGGGCCCTGTGGGGGCCGTCTTGGGGGCCTCATGTGCCCCCGTTGGGGATATCTTGGGCCGTGGATACGTTGCATTAAGGCGTTCGCCGAAAAACGCTGCCGCTCAGCACGTCACCTCCGGACGTGGATTCTTGGGCTTACGCCATGCCGCCGACCCCTTGGGGGGGGATTTGGTGCGTCGCTGGGTGTGTTTGGGGGCTTTCCGTGGGCTTCTCCAAGGGTTCTCGGCTGGATGCGAGGACGGCGGAGGAGCGAGGAAGGAAGGGTCTTCGGGGCATCCAGCCGGCGCGACTGGGTCGTGGTTCAGGCACCTTGAGGATGTGCGTTAAGATCACGAGAGAAGCCTCTCGGATACCTCCGGGAGACAGTTTGGAGGCCTCCGGGGGATTGACTTGGGGTCTCTTGGAAACGATGCCCAGAGGAATATACAAAGGAAGGGTCCCCCAGTGGAGGCCTCTTGGAGCGTCTTTGGGTTCTCTTGGCGGTCCTGGACGCCTCTTAGAGCGTCTTGGGGCCTCTTGGGGGTCTCTTGCGAGCCTCTTGGAGGTCTCTTGGGCGCCTGTTGGAGGCCTCTTAGGGCCGTCTGGGCGCCTTTTGAGGCCCTCTTGGGACGCTCTTGGGAGCCTTGGGGGCGCTCTTGGAGCCCCTTTGGGCCATCGTGGAGCCATCTTGAAGCCTCGGATGGCCATCGGAAGCGAAAAGGCGAGATTGAAAGCCAAAAACATTGATTGTTCGACGGTTTTGGAAGGATTGTGGCCTCTTCGGGGCCTCCTGGGGGAGCTCTTTGGCCATTCGGAGCCGTTATAGAGCGGTCTTGGGGCCTCTTGGAGCATCGTGGGAGCTATCTTGAGGCATCTTGGGATATCTTTAGCCATCTTGGAGGTCATCTTGGGCTCTCCCAGGCGCTCTGGGAGTCATCTTAAGCAGTGCCGCCCCCAGGAGGTCAACATGTGGCCAACACCGAAGTAAACTCAATGATTTTGGCATCGTCGCTGAGGCCTCTTGGAGCGTCTTGGGTGCCTCTGGGGGGCCTCTTGGGACCTCTTGGGGGTCTCTGGGGAGCCTCTTGGGGGCATCCTGGGGGCCCTCACACGTTTCGTGGCCCTATCGGGAGCTCCACCTAAGGCCCCAGCGGGCGCGGCCACATGCGTCCGCCGAATTTGTTTCGGCACAACTTGAGGCAGCAGTGGCGGCGTTCGTATGCGCACGACCGACTCATGTCGACACCTCCCTCACGCGTTTCGTAGCTTCATTGGGGGCTCCACCGAAGGCCCCAGCGGCGACGTTCGCATGCGCCCCCCCGTCGCCCATTTCGGAACACCGAAAGTTCGCGCACGTCCCGCCCAGTCGTCCCCCCCCTGCCCGCACTGCCTCGCTCGCCTCGTTCTTTCTGCGGCGCGCCGCTTATGAGAGCAGCCGGTATACCGCGTGCGCTATTCGGGGTTAGCGTGCCCACCTCAGCAATCTCATCTCCCTCGCGGTTCTTGCAGCTGTATATGGCTGCGTCTTTCGTCAGGCTAATGTTTGTTTGTCCCCCCCTGCAATTTGCACGCCCGTGTTGTGCCATGTAAAACGGTGGCGTGTACGACAAGGCTAATTGCAATATTCAAGCAGAGGACCACAGTATATAGCAAGTGGCAGGCAATGTGGGGGCAATCCGCAGACAATCGCATTCAAGTGCCAAGTAAAAGGATCCCAACCATGTGGATCTGTTGCGCGCATCCTTCGGGAACACGGGGGGAACGTGACACGTTTGAGTCAAAGGCGAGGCACATCCGTCGAAACAGGCGGTGTGTGCGGTCTTCTCGACATGCCACTAACTACTTTGCGGAGGTGATGTGCGTTTCTCTGTCGACCTTGGCATGGGGTGGCTTTCCTGGGATGAGCCATGCAAGAAGTACATGAGAGGTTGGTGGGCCTGGGCAGCATCTGTCCATATATGATTTGCTGTGTGCAAGTGGATTTCGGTCGCATGGTGCTTGCGAGCATGTAGGCCCTGGCTCGAGCGGCGCTGACCAGCCCGGGCGGTCAGAGCCATGGCGGCCGCGGCCCCCGTGGTCGGGCCCACCGAGCTGGACGAGCTGCAAGGGCTCGGCGTGCGCTGCGTGGAGACCGCCGCGGTGGAGCGGCTGGTGGTGCAGCGCTGCGGCGTGGCGGACGAGCTGGCCAGGCACCGCGAGGAGCTGCGGCTGGCGCGGCGGGAGGTGCTGCGCCTGCAGGGCGTGTCGGCGGCCGCCCTCCGCACCGCGTCCCGCCCGGCCCCGCGAGCAGCGCAGGGCGCCGCGGCGAGCGAGGCGCGCGGCGCCCAGGAGGCGCTGCGCGGGGCGCAGGCGCGGGCGCTGCAGCTCGAGGCCTCCGTGCGGGGCTTGGAGGCGCTTCTGGCGCAGGAGGCCGCGCTCCCCCTGGACGCGGCGGGCCAGCCCGCCGCGGACGCCGAGGGCGCAGCCCTGGCGCCGCCCCAGCATCGGAGAATAAAAGGCGGCATCGACATGCGCTTTTGGAGTCTCGCGCGTGTTTCTTGGATCTGCCTGGGCCCCCCTGGGCGGCGCCTCCGGGGAGGGGGTTCCAGCGCAGATCCAAGAGATCCGCGCGGACCTCCGAAAGTTGGTGCTTATGCCGTCTTTCTGTTCCTCTGCAGCAGCGGCGCAGCAGGCTGCGGGTCGTGAAGTCGGAGCCCAGCGACGGCGCGGAGGGAGCCATTAGGGCTCCGGCGCTCGATGCGGCGCCCGCGGGCGACGGCTCCGCTTCCGCAGCAAGCGCCGCGCCGCCGGAGATGTCCGCGTCCGCCGTGGCCGCAGGTGCCGCGGGCACACCTCCGGAGGTTGCCGCGTCTTCCAGCATCGCTGGCCGACCTCTCGGGCTGCCCGGCGCGCCCGTTGGGGCGGCGGGCCTCCCGGCCGAGGCCGCTGCGGGTGCTGCGGGGGCCGCCGAAGCGGGCTCCAGCGCGCACCTGCCGCCTGGCAGGCAGCAGCAGCAGCAGCCCCTCTGGGGCCAGCTGAAGCTCGCGGGCGCGTCTGGGACGCTGGAGTTCGGCAGCGACAGTGAGGACGACGAGGACGGCCTGGAGATCCGGGTGCGCCCGCAGCCTCCCTGCCTGGAGCCTCTGGAGCCGATGCCGCAGCCTCCCGGCCTGGAGTTTTCTGGCCCAGAGCCCCTGCGCCCGCCGCTGTCAATGTACCGGCCCGCGGGCGCAGCGCTGTTGGAGGGCAGCACAGCGCTCAGCCTGCTGCCGGCCGCGGCTGTTGCCCATCGCCCTGCTGGCCCGCCGGAGAAGCTGGCCCCCTGGGCGTCGAAGGCGCCCGCCCTGAAGAAGGGGCAGGCTTCGAGGAAGACAAAGGTGCATAAACATTGATTTTCGGAGGTCCTCGTGGACTTCTTGGATCGTCACTGGATCCCCCCCCGCCCCCTGCGCGCAGAGCGAGCCAGGGGCGGCGCTGGAGGCGCTGCCTTGGGCTTCCAGCGCCGATCCAAGAAATCCGCGCGGACCCATGGCAGTTTATGCTTATGTCGTTGTGTCTGTTTCTCCTAAGGCCCCAGACCTCTCTATGAGCGACAAGGACTTCTTGCAGCGACACCTTGCCGCGGCGCGGAAGCCAGCAGCTGCTCTGGTCGGGGCACACGGCAGCCCGCCAGCGAAGAAGCGGCGGCCCGAGGTGGACCCCCCGTCGGCTGCCAAGCGCCGCGCGGCCGAATTTCAGCGCCCTGCGGCGGGCGAGCCGAATGCTGAGCCGATGGCGCAGCCGAGAGCGGAGCTGAAGTTGGAGCCCAAAGTAGAGCCCAAAGTGGAGCCGAAAGTGGAGCCGAAAGTGGAGCCGAAGTTGGAGCCGAAGGCTCAGGGCAGGAAAAGGTACCGATACCTCTGCTCTTCCTGGAGGTCGCTCGCGGCCACGGCTGGATTCTCCGCGAACGCCCAGCCAGAGCGCATCCGGGGAGAGGTCTGGGGAGTAGCGGTATCCGTACCTCTTCGTTCCCGCACAGGCGGAGCCAGGGACCGAGCTGGCGTCGCGGCCCGAGGCGAAGCAGGAGCTCGGGCTGGAGTCCGGCGCCCCCAGGGGGCGCGCGCCGAAGGCCTCGAAGGCTTTCCGCATCGACGCGCGGCAGCTCAAGCCGAAGGCCTCGGGGGCTTACCTGGCGGGCGTCAGCCCCAGCGAGGCGAAGGCCATAGCGGACATGGAGGGGATCTCGCCCCACAAGAACATTTGGAGGCACAGGTTCTCAGAGGAGGAAGAGGTTGAGCAGTAAGCCACGGGAGTTCCCGCTCGTTTTCGATAGAAGGCATACTGGCGAAAAGGGCCCAGCAGCGCTCAACAGCGTCCAGTAGCGCCCAGTAGCGCCACATAGCGCTCAATTAGCTCCCAAAAACGACCAACAGCGCCCAATATTGCCATGCGAGGGAAAGGTTTCACGTCCCCTTTGGGGCACACTATTGGGCGCCATGGGGATGACACAAGGCATCCATGAGTTGTTTTCCCAAAGAGGTACAATTGCCGCTGCGTTTTTGTGTTTTGTGTCTTTCTTGTTGCACCGGACGCGCTCAGCAATGGCTTGGTTGGGCCTAGGGCCCTGGCCGGATTGCACGAGTGCAATCTCGGGAGCTTCACACGGCAGCACACTCTTGGAGAGTCCTCGTCACCACCGTTGGATTCTCCTCACAATTCTGTTCCAAACGCATCCTGGGAGAGTTCCGGCGAGTAGCGATATATCGGTACCTCTTTGTTCCCCCAGGTTTTGGCTGCGCTTGCGGAAGAAGAAGGACGCGGTGGCACAGAAGTCGAGGCCGATGTGCCGCAAGGACGACTCCAACGAGCAGGCCTACCTGAGGCGGCAGAGGCTGCTGGCGCGCAGCGCGCAGAAGGCGAGCACAGCGCTGCTTCCCAAGCAGCAGGTGGACGAGGATGGCCATGCCTTGGTGAAGTCTGAGCAGGGCGAGTCCCTGCCCGGCAGGGCGCTCCAGGACGATGTCTGCGTAGCAGAGGGCCTGCGGAGCCCCCGTTGGCTTTGGGAGGCGCTCTATCCCTATCAGCATGTGTGTGTTAGGCGCCTGTGGGAACTGCAGCAGCAGCGGGTCGGCTGCTTGGTCGCAGACGAGATGGGCCTCGGGAAGACAGTTCAGATTGCAGCCTACTTGGCTACGCTGCTCCACTCCGGAGTGCTGCAGCGGATGAGAGTGCAGAACACGTCCCTCGGCGCAGCCAACGCTCCGACCGCCGGCGGCATCCTGCTGCTCTGCCCAGCGACGCTGATAAGTCAGTGGAAGAGCGAGCTGCACCTGTGGTGCCCACCGCTTCGTGTCTGCGTGATGCACGATGTGGATCACCAGGAGCGTCTGCAGACCATGGACGCCGCGTCCTCATCGCAAGGCATGCTGATCACCTCCTACGAGACCATGCGTCTTTGTCATGAGGAGTTGCTGCAGAGGTCTTGGGTCATGATGATCCTCGACGAGGGACAGCGGATACGCAACCCGGATGCGCAAGTGACCCTCGCAGTGAAGCGCTTCAGCACGCCTCACCGAATCATCCTCTCCGGCTCTCCCATCCAGAACTCCCTCAAAGAGCTCTGGTCGCTATTCGACTTTATCTGCCCTGGGCGTCTAGGCACCCTTCCCGTCTTCCTCGAGGAGTTCGCGGAGCCAATCGAGAAGGGGAATCTCAACGGCGCCAACGAAGCGCGCGTAGCAGCCGCGTATGAGGTCGCCACGCAGCTGCGAGAGATAACGCAGCCGTGCATCATCCGGCGAACAAAGGCGGAGTGCCAGGACGTCCTGAAGCTGCCGAAGAAGCAGGAGCAGGTGCTTTTCTGCCATCTTAGCCCAGAGCAGTACCAAGTCTACGTGGACTTCCTGCAGACGGACCAGGTGCAGCGCGCTAGGAGGGCGTCGCAGGACAGGAAGTACGCGGGCTTCGCCCTCTTCTCCATCAGCATCCTCCGGAAGTTGTGCAACCATCCAGACTTGTTGTTGCGGGACGCCGAGAGTGACCTGCGGCCGGATGACATGTGGAATTTCCGGCGTTCGGGCAAGATGCAGGTGATGGCGAAAATCATGAAAGTGTGGAAGCAGGAGAACCACCGGCCATTGATTTTCGTGCAGACCGTTCAGATGATCGAAGTGATTCAGAAGTGGATGCAAGAGGAAGGATACACGCACCTCAGGATCGACGGTAGCACACCTATCAAAAGACGGACGCGCATGATCGATGAGTTCAACACGAGCAAGACGCTCTTCGCAATGATCCTCACGACGCGCGTTGGGGGCGTGGGCCTCAACATCATAGGCGCTGACCGGGTGCTGATCTTCGATCCAGACTGGAACCCCATGACGGACGTACAGGCACGAGAGCGGGCGTGGCGCATCGGTCAGGAGAAGGAGGTCGCAGTGTACAGGCTGGTGTCCACGGGGACAATCGAGGACAAGGTCTACCAGCGGCAGGTGTATAAGCACTTCCTCGCGCAGAAGGTGCTGATCGACGCGCGCCAGCGGCAGTTTTTCAAGTGGAACGATCTCGCCGACTTGTTCGACATGCCAACGCCGCCTCCAAACTTCGATCCAGCAGAAATGGCGAAGATGAAGAACATTTACAAAGGCTTGTTCGAAAAGCTGGAGATCAAGAGGACGGTGGAGGACTCCAGTGAGACAGCGGATCTCATGAAAGCGATCTCTGATCTTCCCATGCCCACGGAGAGCCGTGTCGGCAGCCAGGTGAGCCAGGAGAGCAACGCAATCCTCCAGAGCTTATACGACTCCAACGGTATCAAGGCCAGCTTCAACCACGACAAGGCTCGAATACTAGAGTCACATCAACCTTTCGGATGTTCGCGCGGATGTCTTTGGTAGCCGCTGGCCCCCCTCGGCGGCCCCTCTTGCGCTGCCCCTGGCGCGCTCTTTGCGAAAGTGAAAGGGGGTTCAGCGCCGACCCAAGAAATCCGTGTGACCCCCCCAAAGTTTACGGTACTGGTCCGGATGCCGAAGTAAGGACCATTTTGGGCCCGAGCGGCTCTGGTCGTGGGGGCCGTTCCTTAGATCGAGGTCGGGGGACCTCTCCCTGGCCGAGGCGACGTGGCCGTGGCAAGAGAAGCCGACCGTTCCTTCACCCGGCGTGTCCTCCTGGGAGCACGGCGGCCGTGCGTCGCCCTCCGACCCCCCCCGCAAGGTGGAGCAGCCCCTCCTCGACCGCAACATCGTCCGCCAGGCTGCGGGCGCGGTGGCGCGGCGCGCGCTGGAGGCCGTCCGGCGGTCGGCGCGAGAGTGCGCCAACCACCACATCAGCGACCCCACCTGGACGGCGGGCGGCGCAAAGCACCTCCTGCGAGGCACGAGGGAGACATTCCCGGATGCCCCAGCGAGGGCGGGCGTGACTGGGGGGGGGGAGGCGTCGCGATTCGCGCCAGCGGCGTCCTGAGGGAATGCTTCTGGAAGGCTCAGTCCCAGATCGTGCCGGCGCGAATCGTGACGTGACCGGGGAGGGTGGGCTCCAGGCGTTATCGCGATGAACAAAAAATCTGAAGAGGCATAATCAGTTTTTCTGAGCTCCGCGCGGATACCTTGGATCGGCGGTTTGCCCCCATGGCGGCGCCTCCAGCGCTGCCCATGGCGAGCTCGGCGCGCCAGAGAGGGCGGTCCAGCGCCGATCCAAGAAATCTTCGTGGACCTCTTACAGTCATGCTTATCATGCTTTTTGTTCCTCTACTCCTGGGGTGCCCGAATCATCCCGAACGGCCACCAGGGGCCCGAGCTAGACTTTTATCACGCTGGGGAAAAACACACAGCCGCAGGTTTTCGGCAGTCTTCGGCCTCTGGGTGCCCTCACCAGGCCCTGGGGAACGTCAAACGCCAACTCGGGATCAAAAAACCGGCCTGGGGGAGAAAGGTCCATACCTCGGGGGGTCCATATTTGGAGCGAAGCCACGACTTCGGAGGCTTGGGCCCCCCACCGCGTGTTTGCACAAGGTGGCCGCCCGGGTTCTGGACCCCTTCTCCTCCTCCTCCTCCTTCGCCTCCTCCTCCTCCTCCTCCTTCGCCTCCTCCTCCTCGTCCTCCTCCTCCTCCTCGTCCTTCTCCTCCTCCGCCTCGTCCCCCTCCTCCTCCTCTTCTTCATCCTCCTCCTCCTCCTCCTTCTCCTCTTCCTCCTCCTACTCCTCGTCCTCCTCCTCCTCCTCCTCCTCCTCCTCCTCCTCCTCCTCCTCCTCCTCCTCCCCCTGGTGCCACATCGTCTTGCGCTGTGCCTTCAGAGGGTGCCAGGCCTGGCAGGCACGCCCTCGGGCCGGAGGCAGCACAAGCACAGCCCACACCTCCCCTCGTGGTGCTGGTCTCCGCGTCACTTGCCAATCCTGTCGGGGGCGGCCAGGAGGGAGGTGATGACTGGGGGGGGGCCTTGGACATCACGGCGTGGGCCATGATACTTCCGCAGATTCCACGGCGCCTCTTCTCGTTTCGTCGCGCCCCTGGCCACCCCCGGGGGCCGCGCACGTGCCGCCGGCCATGATCTGTGCCCGCCTCTCCTGGGCGCCCCTCCTTCTGGCCGCCCCCGATCCCGGGCGCAGGACCCAGCGCGCATGTCCCCCCCCCCCCCGTGCTTTGCCCGCCGGGCCGGTGCGGGGGCCTCGGGGGGAGCCTCGGGACGGTCGGTCCCTGCTCAAGCCTGGGGGCCCTCCCCAGAGATCCAAGGCATTGAACAAATCAGGACGGAGGGTTTTCGCAAAGTTCGGCCCCCAGAGGCCCTCGCAGGGCCTCGGGGGCCTTAGAAAAACGACTCAGGATGAGAAACTTGTCCTGTAGGGGAATGGGTCGAGACTTCGGGGACCCCGCATTGAAAAAAACACGACATCGGATCTCAGGGTCTCCCGATCGGCAGCACCCAAACACACTCGAACTCGGTGTGCGCCGGCGCCCCCGGGGGCGACGCTCGCGCTCGGACATCTTATGGTGTTCCTTCCAGATAGGGGTCTGGGTAGATGAGCGGGAGGATCGCACCGCGTCGCCGATGCATCGGAGATGCGGCTCGATGTTGGCAGCATCGCCGACCCTCGCTGGTGCATCGGCGATGCGGCGAGCTCATCCGACTCTATCTGCTCCAACCCCACCTGGGTGCTCGGTGGTGGACGCTCTCCGGTCACACCGCCAGGGTGTATGTATAATGAGGGGGTCGAGAGGCTCTACGTCCCCCAATTTCCCTGGGCGAATTCCCGAGGAGAATCGGTTGGTTTTTTTCTTGTACTCATCCATCCTGCGATCGGCGCGCCTCGAAGAGAAACATTCCATCATATGTGTCAGCATCTACGCTCCCTCCGCGGCTAGTAAATTGCGCTTTTTGGGGGCTCTGGTAAGCGGCATTGTTTTCCACACCGACCCTCCCTCCGCGGGCCAACAAAAATGCCGAAGGCGATTTGATCTGAGAATCTTACTTCCGCGCCCACCCACTCGCCAACCGGCCCCCCCTATGCGGCATCCGCAGTTTCGTCGGTGGGTTGCCGTCGCCGCCGCCGCCGCCGCCGCCGCCACCGTCGTCGCCGCCACCGTCGTCGTCGTCGTGGTCGTCGTCGTCGTCGTCGTCGTCGTCGTCGTCGTCGTCGTCGTTCGCCGTCGTCGTCGTCGTCGTCGTCGTCGTCGTCGTCGTCGTCGTCGTCGTTCGCCGTCGTCGTCGTCGTCGCCGTCGTCGTCGTTCGCCGCCGTTTTCGTCGTCGCCGCCGTTGTCGTCGTCTTCGTCGTCGTCGGCGTCGCCAGGCCTTGCGCGCCCCCCATAGGGCGTCCGCAGTTCGTCGTCGTCGTCGTCGTCGTCGTCGTCGTCGTCGTCGTCTTCGTCGTGGTCGTCCGTCGGCGGTCTTCGTCGTTCGTTGTCGTCGTCGCTGGGCCTTTCGTTGCACCCCCCCCTCTGTGGCGCGTCCGCAGTTCGTCGTCGTTTTTGTCGTCGCCATCGCTGTCGTCGCCGTTGTCGTCGTCGTTGTTCGTCGCGGTCTCGGGGGCTCCCCTGGGGCAGGGCTTGAGATCTCAGTTCGAATTCCCTCTCTCGGGCCCCATTTGGGCGATCTTGGGGCCCCTTGGGCCGTCTTGGGTGTGGTGATGGCTCCCAGAGACCCGAAATTACAACTGGTTTTCCTCACTTGGTTTCGGGGGTGGCACGTATCCCTAATGCTGTCTCCTGGAATCCCAAATTCACATTTCGTTTTTCTAACACGGTGTCACCCGCTGCTGATTTCCAGGCTGATTGACCCCATGTTTGCCCCCAGCGTCCCAGTATTTTTTCTCACACGGTTTCGGGTCTGACACGGTCACTCGCTGCTTTTATTGTCCAATGCCCAGTGGCCCCATGTTGGTTCCCTGAACCCCAATTTCACATTTCGTTTTCCTCGAGCGGATTTGGGAGCGACACGTGTCACCCGCTGCGCTCCCCAGGCCCAGTGACCCGATGTGGGTTCCCAGCGTCCCAAATATACACTAGGCTTCTCTCGCACGGTTCGGGCTGACGCGTGCCACCCTCCCATTTTTGTGTGGCTGACTGAGCCCCATAGTTGGCTCCGAGGATCCCGAATCTGCAATCGGTTTTTCTCTCATTGTTTCGGGAGTCGTCTCACCCGCTGCTTTTCTGAGGCTGGCTGACCCCATGCTGGCTCACAGAATTCCGGATGTACAATTGGTTTTCTCATCCGGTTTCGAATTTGACACGTGCCACCCGCTATTATTTCCAGGTTGAAGACCCGTTGCTAGCTCCCAGAATCCCAAATTCACGCTTGGTCTTTCTCAGAGTGTTTCTGGGGTGACACGTGGCAGCCGCTGCTTGCCCCAGGCCCAATGACCCCATGCTGGCTCCCAGAATCCCAAATTCAGAGTTGTTTTTTCTCATACGGTTTCGGGGCAGTCACGTGTTACCCGCTGTTTTTGTTTTTTTTCCAGGCCCAATGATCACTTATTATTGGCTCCCAGAATCCCAAGTTCACACTTTAGCTTTAGTCTTTCTCAAGCGGTTTCGAGGGTGACACGTGTCACCCGCTGCTTTTCCCATGCCCAATGACCCCATGTTGGCTCCCAGAATCCCAAATTCACAATTGGTTTTTCTGTCACGGTTTCGGGGTTGACGCGTGTGACTTACTGCTTTTCTGAGGCTGACTGGCCCCATGTTGGATTCCACACTCCCGAATTTCCAATTCGTTTTTCTCACACGGTTTCGGAAGTAAAGCGTGTCACCCGCTGTTTGTTTTGCTGGATCATTGACCCTATGTTGGCTTCCATAATCCCGAATGTAAATTGGGTTCTTCTCACTCGGTTTCGGGGGTGATATGTGACACCCGCTATTTTTCGGAGTCTAAATGACCCCATGTTCTTGCCCGGTGGCGGAAGATTCCATTTTTGATGATTTTACAACTCTCAGATGAGTCACGCATTACTTGTGGCAAGTCCCACAGTCAAGCAGATGCATCGGGCAACTTGCGCCGATGTACGAAAGCATCTTCGCCAGTCCAACGTTGCATTCCCACAGCATTGGACAGGCGAAGGTGCTTCAGGGAAATTGTGTTGATTTACGAAGCGACCCACCCTGGGGGCCGCTGCCAACTTCGGGAAAGCCGTTCGCCTTTCGCCCGCCTGCGATTTTTCAATCCACCCCATGGGGGCTGCCGCCAGCTTTGGGGAGTCCCGTTCACCTTTCAACCGTTCGGTTTTATTTGGTGCACCTACCATGGCTGATGTGGGATGGGGAAGGGTAAATGTGGGTAGTGCATCAATTTCCCTTCCCGGGCAACGGAGTTGGGGACAGGGTCCTAACACCTGTATCGTAAGGGGGTTGCATGTCACATTCGACCCCTTCGGCAGGGCCCAGATTTGCCGGGAATGAGGGTGGTACACCACACCATCTCGACCTCTTGCAGTAGATGTGACCTGCTGGGGCTATCTGCTCGGTTCGGACGTGAGCCTCCCATGGGGGGCGCACAGCACTAGCATAGCATGTCCTTCCGCGTCCCACCCGAGGCACCCGGCAGGGCCCCCGTCCGAGCCCCTTCGGCGCCCGAGCCCGTTCGGCCGCCGAGTGACCAGCCGGGCGTGTTCGACCATGGATCCCTGGTTGCCCACCGCTCCAGAGCGGACTTCGGCGGCCTGCGGCGTTCTTCGGACGGTTTTCGGCTGTCGTCGCCGGGTTTCTGACGGTCTTCGGCGCTTTGCGGCGATCGTTGGCGGTTTCCAGCGGTCTTCGGCGCGAAAGCTGGGTGCCTGCGTTCAACAAGGGGTCCAGCATCGAACACCTCACAATCCGACCGCGGCCGTTCCGGGGTTAGCGATCCGCACGGTGTCAGGAACCAGGACGCGGGCCGTAACGGCACGAGCTTGCTGCTGGTCCTTGATCGCCGTCGGCGACCACGTAACCGAAAGGTGCCTTACAGTGGGAATCCATGCCAAGAACACATCCTGTTTGCCTCAAGGGTGCCCTGGGTTGCTTGGGTCTCGACGGTTTTGCTATGGAGACCGTGACGTCCCCACACCAAAAATTAAACGGATGTCCTGGGGGCTCACGGCTGGGCTTCTTGTGGGAAGTTTTTTGTGGTCGAGCTCCTACAGTCGGGGCGTTGAAGAAGGTCCACTTGCCTTCCGACAGGGGCTTGGCCGTTCTTTAGGTATGCATGCGCTCCAGTCCTCTTTGGGTGGCGAGGCCCCCTGGCGTTCCTTCAGATTTCATGGACCCAGTTTGGAAAAAGGGGCTCCGTTCCCTCTTGATCGTTCCTTCGGTCAGCGCCCCGACCGCCGCCCGCCGCAGGACCGGTAGCAGCGGCGTCGCTGGCGCCGTCTCCTCGCGATCTGTGCGCCGCGGCTGCGCGGTCGCGGGAGGGTCGGCCACGCGCGGAGGGGGGTGCAGCTGGGGCCCACACCAAGAAACACCCTGCTCGCCTCCAGGGTGCCCGGGGTTTTCTGGGTTTCGATGGTTTTGCGATGGACATCGTGCCGTGCCCACACCAAACATCGATGGACGTCCTGGGGTCTCAGGGTTTGGTCTCTTGTGGAAGGTTTCTTGTGGACTGGCCTCCACTGTAAGGGGAGGTGGGGCGGCTTCTTAAGAGCACCCCTCCTTCTTGGAAGGCGCGAGCCTTCTCTATAGATGCAGGGCCCGCGCCTTCTCAGAAGCAGCCTCCTTCTGAGACGCCTTTCCCCCGCCCCCGTACCCGGGGCCGACAGCTGCTTCGGAGATTCATGCGCCCTCGGAAGCCCGCACGGATCTGGGGTCGGCGCTGAGCTTTTTTTTACTTCCTCGCTCTGCGAGCACAGCAAACAGCACGACGGAGTGTCATGGACAATTTTTGGCATGCGGGGGCCCTTGTAGTCAAGACTCGAGGAAGAAAACGCGCCATAAACATAAGCTTTTGTCGCTCCGCGCGGATTCCCTGGATCCGCGCTGGCCCTTCCCCGGCGGCGCCTCCGGCGCCGCCCCTGGCGCGCTCCGCGCGCCAGAGAGGGGGGTCCAGCGCGGATCCAAGAAATCGGTGCGGAGCGCCAAACGCTCATGTCTATGGCGCTCTTGCTTCTTCTGAATGCGCTGCGTGAGGGACCACTTTCGGCTCAGGAGGGGCTCCGGTTCTCGGGTCGTTCCTGGCGTCGAGGTGGGGGAACCCATCCGCGGCTGATGCTCGCCGCGGCCAGACGAGCCCCTTGTTCGGCGCTCCTGCTGGCACGTAGCACAACGACTGCACCAGGCCCCGGGATCGTCAGAGAACGACTCGGGATGGGCTGTCGGTGCAGGGGGGGCGGTGGCCTCCATAGGTCGACGCTGTGACATAAAGCACGAGGTTGTAGTTTTAAGTCGGGCCTGTCCCTCTACAGAGGGAATGTTCAAAGAGAGTCAATAATTAGTCTCGGGACTATTTTTTCAATATTTTTTGACCATTTGGGAGTATTGTTTGAGCATGCTTTTATCCGTAAGGGCTTCGCCCCCTGCCGCCGGCCCCCTCTCTCGGAGAATGGGCCATGGAAGAGCTAAGTCATGAGCCCTTGGCGCTGTCGTGAAGCAGTATCGAAACTTCATGCGAAGCCGATTCGCAATCAGCAAAACCAACTGATCACAAGAGGGGTTACCACACCTGGCGATTGGTAAGACGTGTATGGTTTACGGGCTTGGTTACCACACCTTGCGATTAAAGGGCCGAGGGAGTTCTCGCAGTTTGGGTTACCACGCCTTGCGATGGATGTGCGTGAAGGGTGGCACCGAATTTCAGAAATGTGGCAAATCCCCTGTGTTTTTGGACCCTGACCCCGCGGATCTGCGTGAGGGGTGGCACCGAATTTCAGAAATGTGCAAATCCCATGTGTTTTTGGACCCTGACCCCGCGGATCTGCGTGAGGGGTGGCACCGAATTTCAGAAATGTGGCAAATCCCTGTGTTTTTGGACCCTGACCCCGCGGATCTGCGTGAGGGGTGGCACCGAATTTCAGAAATGTGGCAAATCCCATGTGTTTTTGGACCCTGACCCCGCGGATCTGCGTGAGGGGTGGCACCGAATTTCAGAAATGTGGCAAATCCCTTGTGTTTTTGGACCCTGACCCCGCGGATCTGCGTGAGGGGTGGCACCGAATTTCAGAAATGTGGCAAATCCCATGTGTTTTTGGACCCTGACCCCGCGGATCTGCGTGAGGGGTGGCACCGAATTTCAGAAATGTGGCAAATCCCATGTGTTTTTGGACCCTGACCCCGCGGATCTGCGTGAGGGGTGGCACCGAATTTCAGAAATGTGGCAAATCCCATGTGTTTTTGGACCCTGACCCCGCGGATCTGCGTGAGGGGTGGCACCGAATTTCAGAAATGTGGCAAATCCCATGTGTTTTTGGACCCTGACCCCGCGGATCTGCGTGAGGGGTGGCACCGAATTTCAGAAATGTGGCAAATCCCATGTGTTTTTGGACCCTGACCCCGCGGATCTGCGTGAGGGGTGTCGATTTCGAGCCCCCCCAGCAATTCAGACAACGCGCCCAGGGGGTGCTAAAAATCCTGTTTGGGCCTCCCCCCCCCTCGCGCGGTCAATCAACTAGTTACAGTAACCAGCAAGAAGCAAAGCTGTAACACTGGAAACTACAAGCTACAACTGGTACAGGAAACTGCGAACCTCGCGCCTACAGCCTGGTGGCCCCACAAGGGGGCCGGCGGATTCTTCGTCGCAAATCCCCCTGCAGGGGGGACACGCCCGACTTAATTGTTCTGGGAGCGTGGAGGATATGCATGTCGAGGTTCTCTTTCTGGGCACGTGGGGGGACTAAGCGTGGGGTGACGTGAGGTGCACTTTTCCAGCACCTTTGTGGGGCCAGTGTGGCAGTCAGACCCCCCCCCTACAGGGCCACCATTCTGAGTCCCGATTGCCCCTTGGTGACCCAGCAATGGTTCTGGCGAGCAAGAAGTGGGGGCGAAGACGTTCAGGGGTCTGGGTTCGAGCAGGATTTGTTTTTCTTTCAGCCTCCAGGGGCCCGCCAGAGACGGATCCGGGGTGAACAACTACACCAGACGGACCCCATGATCGGGGTTTTCGTAGAGTGAGGGTTCTCCCAAAGTGGGGCTGGGGAACGGGCCCAGCCAGATGCTCCCGTTTACAGTAGAGGCCCATACCAAGAAACACCCTGCTTGCCTCCAGGGTGCCCTGGGTTTCCTGGGTTTTGATGGTTTTGCTGTGGAAAGCGTGACGTTCCCACACCAAAAATTGATGGACGTCCTGTGGTCTCAGGGTTGGGTTTCTTGTGGAAGGTTTCTTGTGGTCGGGCCTCTACTTCAACGCGCTTCTTTCTTCCAGGGGCCGTCTGGAGCGATTCTCCCTCCGACCCCACCCTTGCCCCTGCCCCACCTTTTGTGCCCCCCCGACAGGAGGGGGCCAGGTCCGGGACATCATTTGAGCGGCAGGGCTGGACCGAAACGGTGTTTCTGGCGATTTCATGGGCCGTTTTTGTTTCGTCTTCGTTTTGCGGTAGAGGCGGATTCGAGACAAAAAAGCGAGGGAAAACGAACACACAACGAGAACGAACAACACCGTTTAGTTTCAGCCCTGTAAAGCGGATTAGATATGGTGGTTTAGGGTGTCGGAGTGGTCGGGAGCGGCCAGAAGGGGGGTGATGACTAGGGGGGGGGGCAGATATCATGGCGGGGGCCATGATATCTCCCTAGATTTCATGGCGCCCCTTCGTATTGCATTACGTCCCCAGCCCCCCCTCCTGGGCCGCGCGCATGCCGCCGGCCATGACTTGCGCTCCCCCCTCTTGGGCGTCCCCGAAGTGGGGGAGCCGAGAATCCGACGAAGCACTTGGCGCAAATCTTGAGTCGGGCCTGTCCTTCTACAGGAGGAATGCTCAAACATAGTCAAACAATAGTCTGGGGACGATTTGTTTTATTTCTTGTTGCTACTTGTGATCATTTTGTACGATTCTTATTCTTTCCTCCAAAGCCCGCCTGTAGGGGGACATGCCCGACCTAACGCATGTCTTGGCCTGGCGCGGAGATGGCGCATCGAATGTTGTGGTACGCCATCGGCCCTCGCCAGATGCGGCGTCGCGCGGTCCCCCGCCCGCCCGCCCCGAAGGAGCGGGACCGCCCCCCTCCCAGCCGTCCTGCTGCTTCGGCGTGTCCTGCCTGCGCCGACCCCAGCGCGGCAACGTCTTCGTGGCGTGCCCCCCTCGGAGGTTGATAGACCTCCTACCCTGACCCGTTGATCAAGGAATGGGCCGTTTTCCGTTCGCGAGAGGGCGTCGCGGCCGTCATTTCTGCGGGTCCAGGTCCGTCGGTTTCGGCCCCAGGCCGTTTTTCACCAAGGGGAGGTTTGCTAAAGGGAGGCTTGTCCACCGCCGACCCCTCCCCCCCTCTGGGGATCCGGGCCCTCCGCGGGGGCTCATGCCATCGTCACGGAGTGGGTGCATGCGCAGTGCTCGGTCTCCGAACGGACTTGCTTCGTCAGGAATTGGTCATCTCGTCCATACAGTGTACAGTCATCCATGATTGTAAGGATGGGGCAATTTTCCAAGGCCGTTTCACTAAGGAGAGGTTTACGAAAGGGAGGTTGGTCCACCGCCGATTCTTGCGGTAGTGCAGGGCCTCTGGTGCTGGTGTTGGTGCTGGTGCCGGCCAGCACAGAGAAGACGCACTGATCCGTTCCTCCCTCGTCCGACCCGAAGCGCGCGGTCAACGAATCGGAGGCGCATCTCGGAGATGGTGATCGTTTTCTCATTCAGTCTTTCGCCGATCGGCGCGGGCCCTCGCACCCCCCCTCCCCCCCCTGGAGCCCTGGAGTAGATCTTGGCTGTTATTGGAGTTTTTTTCAGGCAGGTGGCATCTCCTCCACGATGGACTCCCTGCTGCAAACAGTCGCAATAAGCAGAGGTCCCGAGCCAGATCCCCCCCCCCTCCCCCCCTTCCGCCCAATGTCGAAACGTCGAACAAGAAAACGCCCACATGTGCCCTCAGGGTGTCTGGTCTAGTTTTTCGTGGTCTTCGGTCGAAGAATGCAGTGACGGTAAAAATCATTCTTTCGGAGGCACGCGCGGATGTTTCTTGGATCGGCGCTGGCTCCCTGGCGCGCGGCGCTTACCAGGGGCGGCGCCCGAGGCGCCGCCAGGGAGGCCCAGGAGCCGATCCCGGGAGTCCGCGCGGAGCTCTCAGAGCTTTTGTTTCTGCCCGCTCTGTAGTTCGTTGCCTCCGAGGTCAAGCGCGAGCGCCCCAGCATGGACGGCGGCGTGGGCGTCAAGCGCGAGCGCCCAGGTGCCGTCGGCGGCCCAGGCATTGCCGGCATGATCGGCGACGGGCCG